GATAACGAAGATGAACATCTCTATTCTTATGAAGGTTAGTTTGTTTGTTTTTTAAAATGAGCAGAAGATTGGTGACACCATTTTCACATCTCATTCAAAAGATACTATCTCCTCTAGCATAGTGCCCCTGGTCTGGAACGTTGGGTCAGTGCTGATCCAGCAAGAAGAGTTCCACATTAGGATTAAAGAAGAAAAGTTTCAGTCCAAAACAAGTTTGTTAGACAATTGTTTTAGTATTTGTAGGAGGTGCAGACGTAATACTCTAGAACAGGGGTAGGCAACCTATGGCACGTGTGCCAAAGGCAGCACGCAAGCTGATTTTCAGTGGCACTCACACTGTCTGGGTCCTGGCCACTGGTCCGGGGGGCTCTGCATTTTAATTTAATTTTAAATGAAGCTTCTTAAACATTTTAAAAACCTTAATTTACTTTACATACAACAATAGTTTAGTTACATATTATAGCCTTCTAGAAAGAGACCTTCTAAAAACATTAAAATGTATTACTGGCACGCAAAACCTTAAATTAAAGTGAATAAATGAAGGCTCGGTACACCACTTCTGAAAGGTTGCCGACCCCTGCTCTAGAAACTGAAGTTCTCTATCCACAAGAGATACAAGATTATCAACAGTACAAACATTCTGCCATTCTACTACAAATATACTTGAGTCCTCTAAGGAAGGATCACTGATGGAGAATAAACTACATTATTTCTTACTCTAAGTTTTTCAATCCTTAATTTCTGTTAAAGTTGACAAGGTTGCACTAACTAATCTAGACAGATGTCCAGTAGAAACTAGAAGCTAGACTGAAATCAATGTGTTTCTCATAGAACAAAGAAAAGACAGATAGCAACTAAAGACTTGATCCAACACCCATTGAAGTTAACAGAATTGGCATTTATTTTAATGAATGCTAGAGAAGACCTTTAGCATTCATTAAAATAAATTTAGAAGACTGCTACTAACAGAACTAGTCAGGATATTCAGTTCTTCACGTTAGGTACCTATTACCAGCACTATGATCTATGTAGTTCCATTAGCAGAATATTAATTTGATAAAATAAAGCCAGTCAGCACTCTTCCTTGTGAAAGTACAAGAATCATAAAACTTATCACAATAACTTCATACGTAACAGATTTAATTATAACCACAATTTACAGTTACTGAATGCTGGAGTTTACAGCTTGGCAGCCAATACTAGAAATGATGCAGCATTTGACACTTTATTAATTTGGTACCCTAGAATAACTTCTTCCTCCAAACACTATTCCCCCAAAAACATGCATAAATTTTCAGGTGGGGCTGGTCAATACCAATTTAAAACAAAAAACCTAACACACTTTAATGGGGCACCTAACTGGTAGAGCATCACAAACTCTAAATGAGGCATGTGAGATGCTATCACAGCAGATCACTGAGACCAATCCAAAAGATGACTGTTTGAGTAGCAAGGTGAGAGCATCATGCCACCAGCTGGGAAGAGAGCAAGATCTTTCATCTCATAAATCTTCATTTTGCTAAGTAGCAGTGTATACAAAGGTTATTCTTACTATAAAAAGAAAAGTAATTTTCTATTATTTAACAATTATGCATGCAACTCAATAAATGGGCTTAAAAAATTACATGCCATAGCAACGTGCAGCATCTTTCACATTTTCATGCACTGATTTCAACAACAACTGGCACTCAATTGTTAAACACTACACAACTCCAAATATTAATATATCTTTTTAACAACATCTTTTCTTCAAAAGATGTTTCTATCCCTCGCTCTTTGGAATGAAAGTATACTTTCATACCAAAATATCTATGCAAACTGACATTCCTATAAATCTGTTTCATTTCTCCAAATTAATTATTATTCGTACTATGGTAGTACCCAAAGGCCAGACTCCAACCACACTGCTATTTTGTCCTGCTACACAGTGATGAAATTCAAAGAGATATTTGCATGCTATTGCACTGATGTGATTATTACTCCAGAAATTATTTCATACTTAGGGCCCTAGCAAATTCATGGTCCATTTTGGTCAATGTCACCGTCAGAGGATTTTTAAAATGGTAAATTTCATGATTTCACCTATTTAAATCTGAAATTTCATGGTGTTGTAATTGTAGGGGTCCGGATGCAAAAAGTTG